GTACCGAATGAACTGGGCCCGGGATACCCCATCCGGCCGCTCCGACATATCGGCATCGGCATCCCCCTCGGCGCAACCCTCAAGAAACCTGATCACGCCCCTGAACCTTCGCTGGGGGACTCCACACAGTCCCACTGCGGTTCTGCCGCCGTTATTGGCCAGCCAGCGTTCGTAGAATGCCCTCAACGCCGTAACTTCGTCCGCGGCGCTGCGGGCGGGCGACTCGCCATTGGAGTCGATCTGGGAGGCCTGGGGCATTACTGTTGGTGCTGAATCATCGGGAAAATCTCCAATACCGGCCCTGTTGCTACCTTCAGAAGGTCGAATGCCGCGTCTAACACCTGGTGTTGGTACTCCGCATCGTTGGGTTTTCCCAGGGCAAACCCGAAGAAAAAGGGCACGAACAGGGCCCGTGGCGGCTTTACCTTCTCGGCATGTTCACGGACCATTGCGATGGTGGTGGTAGCTACTCCATGCTCTTCAATGACCCTGGACAGCACACTCACGGTGTGGGTGCAAAGGGGTCAAGTAGGGGTCAGGAGCGCCACGTCTACTCCCTCTGCCTTTAGGCGGCGAGCCACGTCCGGGCCGGTTTCCTCAATCAGTTTGCTGGCGTCCCGCAGCGCGCCCATAAAAGAGTAGTAGTTGGCAGACAGTTCCCCAACCTTTCCTTGCTCCACCAACTCCCGCAGCCGGTCCACCGGAAATGTGACGTTCAAGTCCCGATAGATGCCGGTATGGTCGAAGCCTATGGAAAAGTGGCTTTGCACCACGTCCGCCGGGTTGCAGTCGCTGGGAATAACCCGATAGGTGTACTCGCCACCGGGATCATCCCGAGTGAATGGCTTGTCGCCACGCAGGTGCAGGCCGGCAGAGGTTACCAGGGCAACCTTGCACTCGGACAGTGGCTTGGACAATCCCACCCAGGGGGTTGATTCATGCTCCAGGCATGGAAAAAACTCCAGTGTCCTGCGCTGTACTTCGCTCAGCGTTTCCAGTCTGGGCATAAACCCCTCCCCCTGACCTGTACGACAACTTCAACAGCTATATGAACCGCTACGTTCAGCATCCAAAAATCTGAACGCCAGCAAGAGCACATGGATAGACCGAAACGGCCAGTGGGCCCTTAGTTAAACATTATGGCGCCCCGGCCCACTTCTCCCTCGTCCATGTCCCCGTAAGCTTCATTTATTTGGTCGAGCGAATAGTGACGGACCACCAGGTCGTCGAGGTTCAGCCGTCCCGACAGGTATAGGTCAACCATGGTGGGCATATCCGTGCGACCCCGGGCCGAACCGTAGTACGTACCCCGCAGGGTCTTCTCGTTTCGGACCAGGTCCACGGCATTGATGGAAGCCTCGGCGCCCATTGGAGCAATTCCCACCACCGTAACTGTCCCGCTCTTGGCACACATATCGTAGGACGCTTTGACCGTTTCTGCGGAACCGAAAACCTCGAAAGTATAGTCGGCGCCCCGGCCACCTGTCAGTTCCTTGACCTGGGCAACCGGGTCCCGGTCTGCGGCGTTTACCGAGTGGGTAGCCCCAAACTTCATCGCGAATTCAAGCTGGCTCTCGCGGATGTCCACCGCAATAATCTGGGAGGCGTTGAGCAGCTTGGCTCCCATAATTACGTTGAGTCCCACCCCGCCGCAGCCAACCACCGCAACGGTGCTGCCGGGCTGCACTTTGGCGCTGAACATGGTCGCACCAACGCCCGTTGGAACACAGCAGCCAATCATCGCCGCTTTGTCCATGGAAATGCCGGAGTTCGTGGGGATACAGCCGGTTTCCGGCACCACCGCATACTCGGCAAAGCACGCTACCTTGCCCATGTGGTGAATATCCTTGCCGCCCTTGTGGAGGCGGGTAGTGCCGTCCAGCATAAAGGGGCCCGTGGCCATGTGCAGATCGCACAGGTTGGAGTTGCCTTCCAGGCAGGACTTGCACCTGCCACATGCCGGAACAAAGGACAGAATTACCTGATCGCCGGGCTTGGTCAGGGTAACGCCGGGCCCCACCTTCTCGACGGTGCCCGCTCCCTCGTGACCCAGCACCGCAGGCAAGGCGATGTTGGCATCACCATGCATAAAGTGCCGGTCGCTGCGGCAAACGCCGGCGGCGCCAATCTTCACCAGCACCTCACCGGCCTTGGGTTCGTCCAGGTCGACATCCTCAACCATCAAAGGTTGACCATATTCATACAAAACGGCAGCCTTCAATTGCGGCCCTCCTGAGTCTATTTGGTGTTTATCATCCGCATAAGCCAGCTGTATGTCAACCGCTCGATTTTTCCGGAGGCGTCCTCAAGCTATTGGAACCAAGGTGTATCGGGATACATCGGATTAGCTGGTGGCTTGCCGTAATGTGGCAACTGGCAAAATGTTGTAATATTCTATCTGTCGAATATGTGTGCCTGACCCCGTTGCGTTAGACCTACCCTCCGGAGGGAGTTCTGGATGTTGGAACTAAGGCAAATAACCGCCGCCGAATTTGAGGAATGGGTTCGGGTCGAGGCCAGGGCCTACGGTAACCGGCTGAATGTCGATCCGGAAGTCCTCCGGCCAAATTTTGACCTGGACCGGTCCATTGCCGTGTTCGACCAGGGCAGCATTGTCGGCGGTGCCCATTCCCACCTGCAGGAAATTTCAATACCTGGCGGCACCTCTGCAATTGCGGGGGTGGCTAATATCGAAGTGCAGCCCACCCACCGCCGGCAGGGCATCATGACCAGAATGATGCACCACCAGTTAGAGGACATTTATCAGAGAGGAGAGCCGCTGGCCGGTCTCTTTGCTTCCGAAAGTGTAATTTACGGACGGTTCGGCTACGGTGTTTCGTCCCTGCGCGAGGAGTGGACCATACCGCGGCATTACACCGGGTACGCAGGACGTCATGAATACAGCGGCCGATTCGAGTTCTTGAATCCTGCGCATATCGGTGCCGTCTTGCCCGAAGCCTTCCGGCGCAGCACCGTGGGGCGTCCCGGGGTTTTTCAGAAATCTCCCTACCTATGGGAGCGAGAGGCACAGGCGCCGGAGCACCGACAGGGAGGCAGAGGCGGCATATTTTATGTGGCCTATTACGTGGGCGAGCAGATGGAAGGCTACGCCCGTTATCGCACCAGCGGCGACACGGTCATTGTCCATGAGTTGATGGCAGTGACACAGGAAGCCGGGGCTGCCCTTTGGCGGTTCTGCTTTGACACTGACCTGGTAACTCGCGCCGAGGCCGAGCGCCGTCCGGTGGACGACCCTCTGCCCTGGATGCTGGCAGACCCTCGCCGACTCCAACGGGCGGCTCGCGACGGCCTGTGGCTTCGCCTGGTGGACGTGGCGACGGCCCTTCCCATGCGCCAGTACGCCGAGGAGGGCAAAGTGGTAATCGAGGTGCAGGACAATGTTTGCCCCTGGAACGCCAGGCGTTTCGCCCTGGAAACGGCGCGTGAAGGGGCAATTTGCAAAGCCACCGAGGCTGCCCCAGACATGATAATGTCCGTGGCCGCTTTGGCCTCCACCTTCCTGGGAACTGTCACCTTTACCACTTTGTCCCAGGCCGGCTTGGTGGACGAGAAAAAGGCCGGGTCGCTGGCCCATGCCGACCGCATCTTTGCCGTCCAGCAGCAACCCTGGACTCCCTGCGGGTTCTAGGAACCCTCTGAACAAGTCCCTTCCCCCGCGCTAAAGTCGTCATTCCGGCACAGGCCGGAATCCAGCAATGCCGGAGGCCAGGCTCCGGCTTTCTCCGGAATGACGTTGTTCAGACCTTCCCATGGAACCCGCGAGTTAGGCGTATTCCGCAATCGCCCCGGTAAAACAGCTTCTAGGCGTCGGCCAATGGAACAGCCAGGGATGTCCGCATTTCGTCGCCGATGCTCCTGGCAATGTGGCCGTGTCCCGTCAGGTCCTCCGCCACCAGCACATCACCGGCAAAAAGACGGCGAACTGTGCCGTCGGCGGTTTCAAACTCTGCTATGCCCGCCAGGTTGACCACGTATTGGCGCCGGGGCGCGGTATGGTAGTCGGAAAAGGTGGGGGATGGACGCGTATTGAGGTTTATCTCTCCCTGCCCCACCCGGTTCACTATCTCGGCAAACTGTTCCGGACTCAGGTCCTCAAAGTGAGACTCCCCGTCGTCCCCGGAGTATACTCGCACTATCTGCATTAGGGATTCCTCCTGCGTTTTATGATGACCCTTTATACCACAGTTTTCCCCCGATAGCAGACACTTCCCGCCAACAGCAGCTATTCTTTAGCTACCCTGTCAGGCGCATAGAGCCAGCCTTCCAGCAAGACCACCGGATCGAAATCGGGCTGACCCACTGGCGGCGGCTGTGGGAATCTCTCAGGGAAGACCGACCACAGCGCCGCTGCCACCGCGGCCACAACCGAGTCCAGCGCGTCGTGGTTCCGCAGCGCAATTTCCTCAAATCTACCGAAGTTAAACTCTATGGGATAGGCCCTTTCGGGAAGCTCGGAAACAATTTGGCGTCGCCGTTCGGCAGCCCAGGTCCCTCCCTTGTAGCCCTTGAATGGTAATCCCAGCCTTCTCAAGACCGCCCCGGGCATTACTTCCAGCAGCTCCGTTACAGTATTGGAACCCTGTCGCGAAAACTCGGGCAGCGGGGGCGCTGAAACGGCATTTGCCGTGCCCCCGATCCAAAGCTTGTGCAACATCTGCATGCCGTGGAAAGTCATGGGCACCATGATTGGATTGACCATGTGCAGGCAGGAATAACTCTCAGGCGGGTCGCAGGCCCGCTTGGGTTCACCGTGAACTGCCACGAAACGGTTCCGCAGGTCCAGAAAGTCGTCATACCCCAGGCTGGATGCCGCCGCCCACAGGTCGGGCATAGTTTTGGAGCCGGGCTCCCAAAACTCGGCAAAGGCCTTCGGAGTTGCGAATGGAAAGTCCAGGGCCGCAACCGCCGGTCCGCTGCAAGTTGCCAGGGTCTCCGTCAAGTCGGCCCGGGTAACCCTGTCACAACTTTCCAGCGTCAGGCTTAGCCCCTCCAATTTGCCCTTGGTGAGCCACGTATTACGGTCGTCCCTGGCCCCGCTGTAGTCAATTCCCAATATCTGCATCATATGTTGTGGTAGCCCCTGCCCACGCTGGCCGCTGGGTTTATTGCCTCTGATAGTCGAGGGTAGTATAGTTCAGTCCGGGTAGCCCTTGAAGGGCGTTCCTTCCTGACTCTCAGACAGGAATTAAACCTGACTCCCGACACTGTTGTTCGGGGAGTTGCATTAAAGGAGAATCATGAATCTGACTGCAAGACGTGAAAGATTTCGCGCAATCCTGGCGGGCGACCGGTGCGTTCACCCCGCCTCCGTATTCGACCCCATGTCGGCCAGGGCCGCCGAGGATATCGGTTTCGAGGTAGGCATGTTTGCCGGTTCCATCGCTTCCGGCACGGTGCTGGGCGCCCCTGACCTCATCGTCCTGACCCTCACCGAGTTTGCCCAGCAGATCCACCGCATCTGCCGCGCCGGCGACATCAGCCTGATGGTTGACGCCGACCACGGCTACGGAAACGCTCTCAACGTGAAGCGCACGGTGGAGGAACTGGAGACAGCCGGTGTATCCTGTCTGACCATCGAAGACACCCAGCTACCCTTGGGCTTTGGCGCCGCCGGAGAGGGTCAGTTAATCTCCGTGGAAGAGGGCATAGGCAAAATGAAGGCTGCCCTGTCCGGTCGCCAGGACCCCGCCCTGGTCGTCGCTGGCAGGTCCAGCGCCCTGCGGGTTACCGGCCTGGAGGATGCCATCAAGCGGGCCAAGGCTTACGAGGACGCCGGGGTTGACGCCATGTTCCTCGCCGGTGCCCAGACCCGAGCCGAGGTCGAAGCCGTGTCCGCCGAGGTAAACATTCCGCTGCTTTTGGGCGGTGCCGGCGGCGAACTGGCCGACCTGGACTTCCTGAGCGGCGCCGGGGTTCGCGTTGCCCTCCAGGGCCACCTTCCCTTCGCAGCGGCAGTCAAAGCAGCCTACGACACCATGAAATCGCTTCGGGATGGGGTCAAACCCGCCGACCTGACCGACACCCTGGCCTCCCCCGAACTAATGAACCAGCTAACCCGCCGCGACGATTACAACCAGTGGGTCAGGACTTCTTGGGGTAGGGCTCCACTCCTGTCCCCGCACCAGCCTTTTAAACCGAACGCAAGCTAAGGAGGTCAAACCATGAACTTCACCCAGAACCATCTCCATTTCCGCAGCGAAGACCCCGATTCCGCCGCCAAGTTTTATTGCGACAACTTCGGCGCTGTTATTGCCTCGGAGCGGCCCTTGTCCACCACCAAGTCCATTACTCTAGAGATGAACGGCCAGACTTTGATGACCATATCGGGCCGGGCCGAGGGCGAGGATCCGGTGCCAGGCTCCACCGAACCCCGCTATGGCCTGGACCACTTCGGCTTTGAGGTAGACGATATGGAAGGCGCCGCCGCTCAGTTCAGGGCCAACGGCGTTCACATGATCTGCGAGCCATGGACTATGCCTTCCGGTTCCATGGTGGCCTTCATCGAGGCCCCCGACCACGTCAGCGTTGAGATTATCCAGCGGCCCAAGGCATAAGCAAAGGCGAATTCGCCGATTCTCAGGCAATGACAAGGGGCGGGTTTCACACCCGCCCCTGCTTTTTGCGCTGCTTCATCCGAATCTCAGAACAGCGTCACCAGTCGTCTGGGCCCTGACCATCTGGCGCAACTACAGATTCATGGCCTCCAGGCCGACCCGGGACACGTCTTCGTCAGCCTGCCCGCTGGGGTAGCCGCCAACGCCAATACCACCCAGGATTACACCGTCTTTCATGATGACCAGCCCGCCTTGGCCGTGGGTCAGGTTGGAGTCGCCCATCTCGCTGATGCTGCGGCCCTGGCTGTGCATCCGCTCTGCGTTGGCGCCAGTGTCGCCTCCCATAATTGCCGCGGTGTAGGCCTTCCGCAAAGCATGGCGGCGGCTGAACATCCGCAGGTTGTCCATCTTGGCGTAGGCTTCCAGGTTGCCGGCCGCATCGACGATGGCCATGGCAATCGGTGCGTCCGGGGTCTCCATGGCTTTGGCCATCATTGCTGCCATTGCCGCCTGTACCTGTTCCAGTTTCAACGTCGTGTCAGGCATGATTTTGCCTCCTGTTTTCTTTTATCCACCTATTGGGACGAATGTACACTGATGTCATCTGGGCGGCGGGCTAACCTGCCAGCGCCTCGGACACCCGCTTGCGGAAATCCTCGGCAGCCAGGCGCATCAGTCCCTGGGAAGAGACTGTAACGAAGTTGGCGCCCAGCTTGATGAACTCCGCCACGCCGGCCGCATCGCCCGGATTGTTGCCGCCCACGCCCACGTTCTTGCCGGCGGCTCGTACCCGCGGAATTACATCGCCCATTACCTTGCGCACCTCGGACACCGGCGGGAAGCCCATGCTTTGGCCCAGGTCGGAAGCGGCGACGTGCAGTACGTCGGCGCCGGGCACTGCCAGGATCTGGTCAAGATTGTTGACCGCCTCAACCTCCTCCACCATCGGGATGACCAGCAGTTGCGAGTTTACCCACGTGGTGGATTCGTCCCTGGTAACCCCTATGCCATAATCATGGGCCCTGCCACCGCCCATGCCCCGCTGGCCATCGGGATAATACCGTGCGGCGTGAGCCACTCCGGCAGCCATTTCTCCGGTGTTGATGTGGGGCACTATTATGCCCTGGAGTCCTCGGTCCAGGAATCGCAAAATAGTGGATTCCTCGTGGTTCGGGATTCGGGCTATCGGAGTTATTCCAAAGGACTCGGCGGCCCGCACCATGTGCTCCACCTGGTCCAGGTTCATTGGGCCGTGTTCGCAGTCAATCATGACGAAGTCATACCCGACGGCCCCGAATATTTCCACCAAATCGGGTGAGTAGCGAGTAATAATCGCCCCGAAGACCACGTCGCCGGCGGCCAGCTTGGCCTTGGTTTTGTTGGTTTGCATCGATTTGCCTCCCTGCGTTTTGGCTAGCTTCGGCGATTATATGACCGGCAAGCGGGGCTGGCAATGGCGGCTTCCGGGTGCCACCGCGTCGTCCCATTTTGGGATGCCGAATCTGCAAAATGCTGAAAATACCCTTTCCGGCCACACGGTTCCATCAGGTTATTTAACGCAAGACCCTCCGGAACTTGGTATACTGGGGCAATCTCCAAAAGGCCGACGTCTTGGCCATTCGAGTTACGAGAGAGGTATCAAAATGAAGTGGGCCTCTGCAATTTCAGAACAAACCGCCGTCGAGTCGGCTATTGAGGAGTGCGCTGTCAGCCTTCGGGCGCAGCTGGGTGGTGATTCACCTGACCTGGCTGTCGTATTCGCCTCCTCCCACTATCAACAGAACTTTGAAGCCATACCGGAACTGGTTCGGCATGAACTGGGTTCCGAGGAGGCGCCCCCAGTGGTCCTGGGCTGTTCAGGCGGGGGCATCATCGGGAACGGCCAGGAAGTGGAACAGAGGCCGGCCCTGTCCATTACCGCCGCTTCCCTTCCCGGAGTGACCGTCACACCCTTCCACCTCGCCAGCGACGCTCTGCCGGACTTGGATGCCGGTCCCACTTCCTGGGAAGAATTGCTTAAGGTCAGTCCCGCTGACTCTCCCCAGTTTGTATTGCTGGCAGATCCCTTCTCCTTCCCGGTTCAGAACCTGATAATGGGCATGGACTTCGCCTACACCGGCGCCGCCAAAATCGGCGGCCTGGCCAGCGGAGGACAGCAGCAGGGCGGTAATGCCCTGTTCCTGGGCAACCGGGTCCACCGGTCCGGGGCGATCGGTGTGGCCCTGCACGGCAATATCACTGTCGATACGGTGGTGGCCCAGGGTTGCCGTCCCATCGGGAAAACCATGCGCATAACCCAGAGTCGGCAAAACATGCTGGAATCCCTGGACGGCGAAACGCCCTTGAACGTCCTCAGGGGCCTTTTCCCGACGTTGAATGAACGAGACCAGGGCTTAATGCGCAATTCTCTTTTTCTTGGCGTGGTAATGGACGACTTCATCGAAGAGCCCCAGCAGGGCGATTTCTTGATCCGAAACGTCATGGGCATGGACGATCGCAGCGGTTCCCTGGCTATCGGCGAAATGCTGAAAGAGGGGCAACTGGTCCAGTTCCATCTCCGGGATGCCGACACGTCAGCCCAGGACTTGGCGGCAGTGCTTGACCGCTACGCCGGGGACAACCGGGAAAACCAGGCCCAGGGGGCTCTGCTCTTCTCCTGCCTGGGACGAGGTCAGTACTTGTACGGTAAACCCAACCACGACACCGACCTGTTCCGGGACAAACTGGGCGCCGTTCCGCTGGGAGGCTTTTTCTGTAACGGGGAAATCGGCCCGGTCAGCGGTACGACTTTCCTGCACGGCTACACCAGTTCCTTCGGCATATTCCGCCCCAAGATGTAGCTCGGGAACCTGACCGATGTCCTTCGACCCGTCGGAGCGACTGCATGCCTGTCATCAAGGTTGGTGTCTCGGTTTCCCTGTCCGGCCAGTTTCAAACCCAGGGGCTACAGGCATTGGCCGGTTTACAGGCTTGGGCCGAGGACGTTAACCGTGCGGACGGTTTGGCGGTGGCAGGCCGTCGAAACACCCTAAAAGTTGTCCACTACGACGACGCCAGCGTTGCCGAAGGCGCCACCCGTGCCACCCAGACCCTGATTGAGCGGGACCGGGTTGACCTGCTGTTCGGCCCCTATTCCAGCGGACTGGCCAACGCTGCCGCCACCGTATCCGCCGAACACGGGCAGGTACTGTGGAACCAGGGCGGCGCTGCGGATGAAATATATCAACCCGGTAGCCGGGTAGTGGGCACTCTGAACGGGGCGCGGGAGTACTTGTCAGAATTGCCGGGACTCCTCCGGAGTTCCGACCCCTCCGCCAGCACTCTTGCCATTGTTCGTTGCTCGGCCGGGGCTTTTCCCAGGCAGGTCAGCGAGGGCATGGAAACCCAGGCAGTTGCACAAGGCTTCACCAACGTTATCGACCTTGAATTCCCACCCGAACAATCGGACTTTTCCTCTATAGTTTCCCAGTTACACCAAGCAGACCCGGACCTGTTGCTGGTAGTGGGGCGCATCAGGCACGACATTTCTCTTTGCAGGGCCCTTATTTCCCAATGGAAGACCGCCCCACGGCCCAGGGCAACAGCGGTAGTAGCCGCTGGCATTGCCCGCTTCAGGACGGAACTGGGGAGCGACGTTGACGGCTTCATCGGACCCAGCCAGTGGGAACCTCCCGCGTTGCACGATTCAGGGATATTGCCCTGCCCTTACATTGGCCCCTCGCCAAAACAGCTTATGGTATCGTTGGAGTGTGCCAAACACTCCAATGGCGGCCTGCCCATTGACTACCCCATGGCCCAGGCCTATGCCGCCGGCCTTGTGGCCCAGCGTTGCCTGGAAGAGGCCGGCACCCCTGACCCTACGGCGCTTTGGAATGCCGCAGTGAGCCTGGACTTTCACACATTTTTCGGAAGATTCAGAATTGACCCGGCGACGGGAAAACAGGTTGGGCGTTCAGTTTTCATGGTTCAATGGCAGCAGGGAAGAAAAGTCGTAATCTGGCCCCCGGAATACCGTCAGGCAAGTCTGCAAATACAATAGGGCTCGACCGGAACAGCCGGATTCAATTTAGACGTTAGGGAGACTGGCGAATGCGTCTGGAAAACAAAGTTGCCCTCATTACCGGCGCTGGCCGGGGTATCGGCCGCGCCATCGCCCTGGCCTATGCCGGCGAAGGAGCCAACCTGGCCTTGGCCGCCCGCAGCCTGAACGAGTTGTCAGAAACGGCACAGGCAGCCCAATCCCTTGGCGCCTCCACCTGCGTAGTCAGCGTGGACGTAACCGACCAGGACGCCGTGGCTGGCATGGCCCGTCAAGCGGAAGAGAATTTTGGACGGATAGACATCCTGGTGAATAACGCCGGTATCGTGGGGCCCATTGGCGCCTTGGAGGACAACGACGTCAATGCCTGGATCCGCACCATCCAGGTCAACCTGGTGGGGACCTACCTGTGCTGCCGGGCGGTGATTCCCATAATGGCCAAGGGCGGCGGCGGTCGAATCATCAACCTGTCCGGTTCGGGCTCCACCTCCGCACCCTACCATCTGTCGGCCTACGGCTCATCCAAGGCCGCCATAATTCGACTGACTGAAATTCTCTCCCTGGAACTGGCCGAAAAGAACATCCAGGTCAATGCCTTGGGGCCGGGTTCCATCCACACCCGGATGTGGGAGGAGATTACCGGTCAGGCCCAGGCCGTCGGGGGACACCGAGCTCTACGAGTTTGGATTGCAGGTAACCGGCGGGGGCGGAGCCTCCATCGACCGGGCCGCAGAGCTAGCCGTTTGGCTGGCCAGCGATGCCGCCGATGGTCTCAGCGGTCGACTGATTCACGCGGTCGCCGACGACTTCCCCAGCCTGACCCCGAAGATACCCCAGATTATGGCATCAGACTTGTACACCCTGCGCCGGGACGAACCGCCGCGGGAATCAGGCCGGTCCAGTTCCCCTGTGTAGAAACCCGACACAAAACCCAACCTCTCAACAAGTCCCTTCCCCCTTGACCGGGGGAAGGTTAAAATGGGGGTGTAGGCGCCGAGTTTATCGCTGAAGCTCCTAAGCTCTGCTCCAGGCTCTCGGCTTCGCTGCAATGTCGATGAGTTATTCAGAGATTCCCTAGTCCCGCTGCAGCAACTCTATCCGCACATCGTCGGGTGCTCGTACAAAGGCCACATGGACGCCAGGCCGAATCGTTCGCGGTTCCCGTGCCATGTCCGCTCCCCGGCTCTTCAGGTCGGCCACCGTCTCTTCCAGGTTATCCACCCGAAAGCCAAAATGGTCCAGGCCCAGGTGTGGGTCCGAAGGGTTGGACTGCATCTGCTCATCGGCGGGAACGGGCGCGATGAACACCATCAACCCGTCAATGTCCAGGTCGGTACGCGTAAACCGTCAGATTGCACCGAGTGAATTACCCTGGCATCAAACATCTTTTCAAACCAGGAAGCCATTTCTTCCGGCTGCTTGGTGCGGAGATGGATGTGGTCGTAAGTGTATTTGGGCATTGTCGCCTCCCTTATTTTCTAGTAGTTGCTTCAAATTAGGCCCGGCTTCCCAGGTTTGTCAAGGAAACGCAATCCCTGGGCTGCGTCGCAGTTTAGTTGGTTTGGGTAACGGTCTTCGTAGGGGCCACCCTTGTGGCTGCCCTGTCTATTTAGCATACCAACCTGAAAAGGAAGCTACCCAATCCCGAGGCCACAGGGACAACAACGCTCTCGCAGCAAGGCCAGTTTTCTCGCGCACTGGCATTATCCCGGATTGCCCACTTCCCGCTATAATGTCCCCCATGCAGAAAAATCAGCCAAAGTATTGGGTTATCTAAGGAGGATGTATGAAATACGACGTCGTAATCGTCGGAGGCGGTGCGGCCGGATCGGTCCTGGCCAGCAGGTTGGCCGAAGACACCAACATGTCGGTCTTGCTGCTGGAGGCTGGCAAGGACTATCCGGACCCGGAGAACCTTCCTGACGAGATTAAATATGGCGGCACCAGGTTCGCTGAATCTCCGGACTCGGAACACAACTGGGCGTTGCGGGGAACCATCACCGAGGAACAGGGTGAAATACACGTGGCCCAGGGCAAGGTCATTGGCGGGGGTTCCTCCATAAACGGCCAGGCAATGCAGCGGGGCCTGCCGGAGGACTTTGATGACTGGTCGGCCCGGGGAAACACCGAATGGTCGTATGACAAGGTGCTGCCCTTCTACCGCAAGATGGAGCGGGACTTGGACATCCACGACGATTTCCACGGCACTGACGGTCCCATTCCGGTGCGCCGAAGGCAGTCCGCCGCGCCGTCTACTATTCAGAAGGCCTTTTTGGATGCCTGCATGAAAGATGGCTACCCCGCCGTCGAGGACACGAATGGGCCGAATCCCACCGGCGTGGGCGTCGCCCCAACCAATAACCTGGGTGGTGTGAGGATGAGCGCGGCCCTGGCCCACCTCAGCCCCATGCGCCACCGCCTTAACCTCACCGTCAGGGGCGAAGTTTACGTCCAGAAGGTGCTGTTCGAGGGCAGGAAGGCCGTTGGAGTCGAGGCCATAAGCGGGGGCGAGGTTTTTCAGGTGTTCGCCGACCGTGTGGTCTTGTCCGCCGGCTCCATAAGGTCCCCGCAGCTGCTCATGCTCTCCGGCATAGGCCCAGGGACCAGTTGGAACAGTTTGGCATCCGTCCTCAGGAAACGCCGGGCGTGGGACCAAAGCCTCTTCAACCATCTGAGCGCCCACATCAACTACAAGGTTAAGACGACGTCAGCATGGAAACCGAATCTGGACGGGCCCACTTCAGCTTGCACTACACTTCGGACGGTTCGGACGAAGAAATGACATGCTGCTGCGGACCAACAACGTGGTGGACGAACGCGAGGAGCGTGTCCGGGGGATACGCACCCGGTACCATACCTCTGACGTGCCCCCGGAAAGGTCCGCCCGATTGTCGTGCACTCTGGGCAGGCCCAAGGGGACAGGGTTCGTCAGGCTGGCTTCAGCCGACGCCAGCGTCCAGCCCACTTTCAATTACCAGTACCTTCAGCATCCGGACGACATACGCCGGGTCCGGGAAGGTATTCGCATGGGGGCAAGGCTCCTGGAGTCTGACGCCTACAAGGACGTTATCGATTACCGTATCTCCCCCACCGACGAAATTCTCAACAACGACGACGCCCTCGACCTGTGGATCAGACAGACGGTGGGCACCGCCCGCCACGTATCCGGCACCTGCAAAATGGGGCCCGACTCCGACCCCATGACGGTGGTAGACCAGCATTGCCGGGTTAAGGGAGTAGAGGGCTTATGGGTCGCCGACGCCTCGGTGTGCCCGCACATCCCCCGCTCCGGCGGCCTCCATCCCACCGCCTTGATGATCGGGGAGCGGGTCGTTGACTGGGTCGCTGCCGGCTAGCCTGCATTGGCATTCACGGTCCCAGGCACCAGCAGTCCAATCGATTCCAAAAGCGTCCGCCCGCTCCACACTTGATGGAGCGGGCGGTTTCAGTTTCAGACTCAGTTACAAACCTGGAATCCAGACTCGCGATTGTCGGCGTGGATGCGTAATCAGGCCGGTTCCTGCACCGGATAATCGAAGTAGGCTTCGCTGATGAGCACGTGCAAATCCTCAGCGCCTTTGGACATTTCCTCCATAAGCGCTGTCCTATCCTCTTCATCGGGCCATTCGTAGCTGATCATGGCCGACAACTGGCCCACCCGCCGCTGCAGGGCCCTCCCGGAACGGGAATATGGGCCATTCCCAATAGCGGCTATCTCTGACTCGATGAGCCTTATCGTGCGCCCCAATGATTCGGGCAGCAACGGGTCGGTAACCAGAAGGTCCATCACCCGGTCGGGCTGCACCGCCACGCTGTAAGTATGGTTATAGACTTCCAGCGCGAAGAAAACTCGAAGGCAGCGATGTCCAGTCCTCTTCGTGAAACTCCTCACTCGAACTGGCGCTGACAGCGTCCATTGGGCCAGCAGCAACGCTGCGGCTCCCTGAACACGCTCTACGTAGCGTCCCAACTGCAGGAAACTCCAGCGGTCGTCGTGGTACATGGTACACTCGCCAACCCGCCACAAAGTCTCAATCTCGGTCACCAGGGACTGGTAGAACGTGGTAGGCGCCCACTGCCAGACGGTGGCTATGTCTTGCTCTTGCAGTCTCAACGTACGAAGTGTTCAGGCACGTCCATACCTCGGGGACTGATACAGTGCCGGGTAGTGCCGAGCGTTTTCCCTGCCGTTGGCGAAGCAACTAAAGACTGAACTGGGATTGGAGCGTTCAAAAGTCAGGTCGTCCGCCAGCGCAAAAGAGTCAGCAAGCACGAAGTCCTCGTCACCGAACGAGTCCAAATCGCCGGCCGGCGGGTCGAGTTGCACGTACTTGTAAATGCGACTCCAGCCAAAGTTAATTTCCCGTATGGGCCGGTCGATCAATGTTTCGGACTGAAGCTGCAGAAGACGGCTGAGATTGCCCGCGCGTTCCAGGTAGCGACCGAGCCAATAGAGACTTTGCGCGCTCCGGGAGAGCATTAGTTCCTCCAGACAAACACTAAGGTAATTATCTTAAGAGTCCCTTCCCCTTTGACGGGGGAAAGTTAGGATGGGGGTAAAAAGCAACGGAATATAACCAAAAGGAACAGCTGCGAATTTCACCACCGGTTTTGATATCGTTTCTGAATGCAGTAAGTCAGATCAAACTCATGGGTATTCAAGAGGAGCTGGACATCTGTTGGTTGCCCGTGCGACCCTCGTCCTCAGATATTACCCACACATCCTTGCCCCCGCCGCCCTGGCTGGAATTTACAACCAGGCTGCCCCTGCGCAACGCCACCCGGCAAAAGGCGCCGGGAACAATGCGCGTCTGCAGGCCATTAAGAATAAATGGCCTCAGGTCCACGTGTCGGGGCTCAAAACTTCCTTCAACCAGGCAAGGAGCCCTGGAAAAGGACTGCACCGGCTGGGCGATGAATCCTGCCGGATCGGCCCGCACCTCCTTCGCGTAGTCGTCCCGCTCCTCTTGTGTGGCATGGGGGCCAATTATCATTCCGTAGCCTCCGGACTCCCCTACCTTCTTGACCACCAGATTCGCCAGGTTGTCCAGCGTGTATTCCAGGTCCTCCGGCCGGCGGCAAAGGTAGGTCTCCACGTTTTGCAGCATCGGTTCCTGGCCCAGGTAGTACCGGATCATGTCCGGTACGTAAACGTAAACACTCTTGTCGTCTGCCACGCCAGTACCCGGGGCGTTGGCCAGGGTAACGTTGCCGGCCTTGGCCGCTTCAATCAACCCCGGAGCACCCAGCATCGAATCTGGGCGGAACACGCGGGGGTCCAGAAAATCATCGTCAATGCGCCGGTAAATTACGTCCACTTGCCTCAGACCCTCGGTGGTACGCATGTAGACTACCCGGTCCCGAATCACAAGGTCGCTGCCCTCAACCAGTTCGGCGTCAATCTCCCGCGCCAGGAACATATGCTCGTAGTAGGCAGAGTTGTAAACTCCGGGAGTCATCAAGGCCAACGTGGGATTGGGCTTGCCATTCGGCGCCAACTCTCGAAGGGTAGTTTGCAGGGCAGTCCCGTACTGTTCCACGTCCTGGACCCTGGCGCTCCTGTAAACCCGTGGCAAACTGGCCTTGGAGGCCTTTCGGTTGGCTATCATGTACGAAACGCCCGAAGGGACTCTCAGATTGTCCTCCAGCACCTTGAAGCCATCTCCCACCCGGATGATGTCGGTGCCACATACCGCTACCCAGACACCGAAAGGCTGCGAGAAGTCCCGCATTTCAGGCCGGAACTGCGGGCAATCGAGGATCATGTCCGCGGGAATTACCCCATCGCTGATTATTCGTGCCGGCCCGTAAATGTCCTCCAGAAAACTGTTGAGGGCCTTGACCCGTTGCTCCAGCCCCTTGGAGAGGAAACTCCAGTCAGACGAGGTGATTACCCGGGGGATGGGGTCCACGGGAATTATGCGTTCTTCTGCTTCGGCGTCGCCGTAAACGGTAAAGGAAATACTTTCGCTGGAGAAGGCCCGGTTTACCCTTCCCTGTATAGTAGCAAGCTCTTCAGAGGACAACTGGCTCAGGGCTTCGTACAAAATCTGGGCCTCGGGGCGGGGCGACCCCTCCGGAAAGAACATTTCATCGTAAATGGCGGGGTCTAGATTATATTTGTCAAAGTTCAACTTGGACGCCCCTGTCTAACGTGCCTTGTTTGTCTTGCTGTTCGCACTATCCGGTGCCAGTTGGAAATATACCATCCGGTATATCCGATATCAACGAACAGATCCCTCGCTTCATTTTACTCGCCGGGGCGAGGTAGCCCTCTTGGGCACCAATTTAAGCCGAATTCAGCTCTCAATGCCCACTTCCACATAGTCGGTTTATTTCAGTCAAATGATTAAAACAGTCGTTTCTGATCAATCAATAGATGTTCTGTTACTAATTGGTTGTATAAATGGTAGCAATGCACAAATAAGGCATCAGCTTACTAGGTATTTCCGAAAACAATCCCTTGGATAGAATAGATTCTGGGCCTGTATTCTGTTCGTGCAAAGGTTAAAGAGTGACCTTTCCCGCTGGGAAGCTCTCCAAGGCGAGTTCCTGTTGGTACTTCGCACCAGCCGTTGCGTTGCTCTTTGCCATCGCCGGGGCTATTGGCTTCCCTTTGCTCTTCCCTGCATCAGCACAAGAGGAAGACCCTCAGTTTAACAACAGCCACTGCGAGGGAAAGCCACATAACGACACTGACATTTGGGTAGAACAGCATTTCACTGACTCAGATGCAAACCGCTGGCACAACCTCATTAAATGGAACAGCCATCCCTCAGGTACACGGGGAATCGCGCTATACAGAGCCGACGCAGGCGAGACAAGGTTGCGAAGAAACATAGCGGTTATTGGTCTTTCCGACTACACGCCAATAGTAAAACATGACCGGGACTCCGGCGCGGACTCTGAGTCAGTAGACGAAGTCAGAAAGTCATTACTTTACTGGTACCAAATTGCCTGGATAGGAGTTAACTGGGAAGGCGGCCAAGAAACCATAATCGGTTGCTCAAGTATCGTTAACAGCAATACAAACGAGACCATTGACCGCCCCTTTGACTCTAAATTCCGATTCCGAGCCACGAATTCAGAGCACTCCTATTCCTGTGCCCGACCTCATAGACCCCATCGACGACTCCGACGACTCTCGACGACTCGACGACTGCAACGACGGCAACGCCGGCACGACGACTCCGACGGCACGACGACTCGACGACAACGACCGACTCCGAGCTCCGATGACTCCGACACTCGATGCAGAGCACCCACGAGCCGCTGCGCGACGAACAGCCGTCAACTCCAGCCCGGAACCAAGCCCTGTGCCCACTCCCGTGCCTAGCTCTCTCAGGGGAAGGGGAAAAGGAGTCATCTTCCGGAAAGTGGTCCGGTCGGGCCGGAGTCCGGCCCAGCGATCACACTGGGCACGCATTCTGCTGAAGGTGGATGAACGGGCGGGACGGGGCCCACGTAGCAACGGCCCTGGACATCCGGGAGCGGACGGGTTTTTTATAATTAGAGCCAGGAAAGGGTATGCGCAGAGGGGGTGGAGGAAACGCTTCGCACCGGCGGCACACCACGGTCAAACGTTACCGAAGCTGGACGAACGTGGGGCAAGCTATCTGATTCGCCCTGGCCGAGCCCAGCGCCCCAGGGCAGACCCTGGACCCCTGCGACTTTTGCGGGGAAGACGGTGGTGGGAAGGGTCTGGTGGAGTCTGTCAAAAGAGAGCACGGTGCACAGGCTTACACTGAAAAAAAAAACGCGCTCGAAGCCGTGGCAGAAGCAGCAGTGGTGAATCACCAGGTGAGTTCCGACTTAGTCGGCCCACATGGAGGGATGTTCCGGGATTGTTAGCCGAGCCCTACGATCCCCAGCGGACCGGTTGGTCGCTCGACGAGGAGTTCACCCAGTTGCTGGCCGATTCCGTCCGTCCCTGCCAGCGGCCCCGGGGACGCCCCAGGCGAGAGGACTACGA